CTCTCAATAAAAAGCCAAACTTGTAAGATTACCTAATTGTTGGTGTTTTCTTATTATGAACACTGACAATTTATTGATTCTTACAGAAGCTATAAAGATACATATTATAGAAAATGCAAAGGCCTAAAATAGGCAAGAAAACTAAATCTCCCTTTCTAATTCTATTGGTTAATAATTTCCATATTTAACAGTGACTCAGTACTGACACAGAAGAGAAGTTTGGGGAAATCTCCCAGGTTACAAACAGCCTCTGCCATCCTGTTTACTACTTAGCATGAGAGCCTTTCCATTTTGACTGAGTCTCACAAAAATGTTATTGCTTAACATTCAATTCCAATATTCACACACTAGGGACTTTAGTTTTATACATAATCCTTCCCAACTAGACTTCTTCCTATGTAAGCTGATGGCCTCCTTCTAAATTTAAACTACCAAAACTCATTAAATGCTATGTATTTTTCAAGCCATATGTGGGTAGCACAAAAATCTATACATATTAGCACAAGCATTTGTTTGACTACAAAAATGTAACTGCAAATATAAAGCATTCTTTTTTGTATTATGACACTATATTCAGAAAATGAACTGACATCTCAGTTTACATATACAATAAGTTTAATTTATATAGAAATGATAGACCATTTCAGGAACAGGTCTTAAAAACAGTTTATGATGAATGGCTTGTGATGGTCTTCTTAAGAGAGAAATAGACATAAACTAAAACACATAGTAGCTCTCAGCTAAAGACAAAACTCAGTATTCAATAAGGAAACAGTCAAAAACACAAGGGTTTTCTTTTCCTTTAGATTGTTGGAATTTTATCAGAGCTACATATGAAAGCAACAGTGAGTGTCTAGTCTATCTAAACCCTTCCCATTGCCACTGCCAAGAAAAGAGAGTGGCCAGGCGCTGCTGCCCAGCTCTGCCCAGGCTGCTCTGTGCAAGGCTCTTCCTGTAGCTGGAGATTTCACTCCACAGAAGATACTTACTGTTCCTAGGACTCCCAGAGAAAGCGTTACTGGAACCTGGACAGTTACACAATGACTTGAACTTTCGAAATTATCATGATAAAAGTCTGGTGCCTGACCATGAAGGTTATGGTAAACTTTACTTTCCAAATAAGCTTAAGCAACAGATAGTTTGGAATTTATAGATATTTAATAGGAACAGAAACAAATACTATTTTTAAATTTTAGCTACAGGAATGGTAAAAAAACATTTAACTTCCTTTCTTCTAATAAGAAATATAATCATTTTCTTTAAATTCCTAACATTAGAATTTCACAAAATCCATAGACCACAATTTATATACATTTGCATAATACTAATTTATTATTCATCAAATATCATGAAAACACAATTTGCATAAAATGCTTAAAATACACAAAAAATATACATAGGGGCCCGAAGAGATGGCTCGGTGGTTAATAGCATTTGCTGCCCTTTGGAGGACCCAGGTTCCGTTCCCAGCACTCACAACTGCCTGGAACTCCAGTTCAAAACAATCCAAAGTCCTCTTATGGCCTCTGCAGGCACTACACCCACATAGCTCACATACACCCATATAGGCAAAACACCCACACACATATAATTAAAACAATAAATCTTAAAAATAAATAATAAACAAAATAAAAGAAGTGATGAGTGGTAAGTACTATAGGAGGAAGGACTTGTAAGGGTCAGTTCTCTCCCCCACCAGGGGTCTACTGGAGTCCTGTCACCAGCAGAACTATCTTGATGGCTTTCTTGTCGTTATTTAAATTGTGCTCAACAGCAATGACCTTAAAGTTTCCTTAGGTTACTTTTATATGAAACAGGAGAGGAGGGAAGGAAGGGTAGGGTAAAATAGCATGAAAGGGAAGAGAGGCTCCAACAGCAGGGTGAGAAGGCAGCCCAAGAAACCATCAGAACTGGGTCTGTGGTAAGGGAGGAAGGACTTCTCCAAACAACTTAAGACTCAAGGACAAGGTGTGACTGAAGAACAAGCTGCTGGTTACATTGAATCCGAAGGCCTGACGCAGAAATGGAATTAATTAGTGAGAAGTGGGTCTGCAGACACAATGGATTATACAATTACTCCAAACACGCTGATTCATATAGTGACAGTAACAACTGTGTCACTATCCATATATAACTAGACCTTAAACAATTCATTACTTAAATACAGGAAATGGAATTCAGTTAGAAATCTTCTATAGCAAATCATCAATGAAACAAGTATCCCAAACATGAAACCAAAGGCAAGGTAGTCTAAATAAACCCTGTAATGAGAAAACTTTCCCTTGTCCATTCCAGGTTTCCTGTTATACTAAATTCTGTGTGAACAAGTTATATCTGCTTTCAATCAACATACTAGGAAAGAAAATGGATTGGTATGTGATTCCCATGGATTTGTTGATCGACAAAACACTGACTTAAGCAAATAGTGATATACAAAATGTTACAAGTTAGCCTGTATTCACATATTTGGGGATATATATGTATATAAATGTAACAACAACTAAAGAAACAGAGGCCATGAATTTGACAGAGAGCAAGGCGGAATACATGGGGAAAAGGTGAAGAGGGGGAAGAGAAGGGAGAAAATGATGTAATTATATTTTAATTTTTAAAAAAATCTTAAAGAAATGCATTAAAAATGAAATGCTGTGAGTTTTGTGACCACTTAGGAGAAAAGAAGCTATACTAGTGGAATTTTGTCTTATTTCTATTTATTTATTATTTGTTTGTTTACTTAGTGGGGGGGGGGACTGAGGGTGCCACAAGAGTGTGTGGAGATCAAAAGACAACTTGAAGAAGTCAGTTCTGAGAATCAAACTCAGATAATCAGGCTCAGCAATAAGCCTCAACCTGCTAGTCCACCTCTCCACCAGCCCATTATGTTGAATTACGTTGATTTTGACATGGATGATGAAGGATACAGTTTTAAGCAATAGGAAGCAGAAGGTTAAGAAAAAAAATACAGGCATATGCCAAATATGGTAAGACACACTTGTTATGCAAGTACTAGAGAGGCTGAGGCTGAGGAAGAAGATTCCAACTTCAAGGCCAGCCTGGACTACACTGTGAGTTTGAGGTCAGCCAGAACTATACAGTAAGATCTTCATTGTCTCAGAAGAATACACACACACACACAAAAGAAGAAAAGAAAAGAAAAAACATCCCATAAGGTTATGTTTGTAGAATAACAACATGTGTAAAGGAGCTGCTGAACATGGATTATAGAAAGGAATAAAACGTCAGTGCCATTTAAACACACACACACACACACAGAGCACTTGTCTAAGACTATTATTGTATGGTTATTTTATAAGGAAAACACCATCAGTTTGCAGTATATAATTCAAGTGGAAACAGGCAAGCACTTTAATGTGAGCAGAAATTATTCTGGTCTCTGAATACATTTAAATTACAACTATTAAAGAATGTTCAAGAATATATGCAACAACAATTAAAGAAAAAAAGGCCATAAATTTGAAAAAGAGCAAGAGAAGATACATAGGAGGATTTGAATGGAAAAATGGAAATAGGAAAATGATGCAATTATATTACCTCAAAAAAAAAAAAAAAAAAAAAGGTGGATGTGACAAAGGTTTAACCCTGAAATTACCTTGTCTCCAAAAAGCACGTTAGCCTGTACAGTCTTCACGCTGCTGCCATAAGAACCAGACTACTGGGTCAGAAAACAGGCAACAGGAGCTTCAGATAGTCATCCACTCCTCTTCCCTCTCAGATCCCTGAGATTCATGATGGACTGGCACAGGTGAACACTGAACACAGGGAAATGCTAAGGAAAGGCAAGCTTAGCCAATCTGGTCTCATGGAAGTCCACAAGTAAGCCCGCCACCTTGGCTACCAGTGTAAAGAGGGGGAAACTCTTTATTATCTTGAGTAGACACAAATCTGCTGAGTGTCTTGGAAGGGAGTACAATCCTCTCCACCCTTAAAGCCTGTGAGAACATAATACAATGTCCCTGTAAAGAGACTGTAGAACAGAAAGTCAAAACTTTTGCTCAAACATGGAGAAATGCAAGAGAAATAAGAAAAAATGTTTCGGGCTGGAGAGATGGCTCGGGGGTTGAGAGCGCTGACTCCTCTTCCAGAGGACCCGAGTTCAATTCCCAGCACCCACATGGCAGCTCCTACCTGTCTATAACTCCAGTTTCAGGGGATCCCCACACCCATGGCAAAACACAAATGCACATAAAAATAAAATAAAATATATTAAAAAAAAAAAAGAAAAAATGTTTCACCGTATTTGATTTCTTCTTGCTACACAATGTCCTCCATGTTATTCTTAAACCAAAGAATGTATTTTTCACTACTTTATTAAAAGGCCAATGTAAATAAAGAAATTCCTGCTTTTCCTTAGGAAAAAAAGTAGGTGTCTAGGTAACATATTAAACAAATGTATCTATCTATGTTTTACTAAAAATATATGATATTGAATAAGTGAAATATTCAGCTGATAAACATTCACCAAAATGACAAATGGCACTTTTCTTCTGGTGAGACCATGTAAGATGCCCAACTTTAGAAGGCCGACTATGCTATCAAGCCAAAGGGAAAGAAGGGTGAGTCAATCTCACCATCCTAATAGTGATCATCACACAAAGACTTAAAGGCAAACCTCATTTTCCTGGTATAGTAGAATATTCAACCTTTTAAAAAATATTACCCAAAGAGGGTAAAATTTGGCGTGAATTTGTTTTTCCATGTAGATGACTTATTGGAAAATACCAAAGTCATATGAAGGACATTCAGTATAAGCAGAAGCTTTCAAATTAAGAATGTGCTTCTAGTAAATGACTGAAATTACCAAATACAAAGAACAAAAAGCATTTTAAAAGTCATTTTTTATAAAAAAGAGTATGTGAACTGCTGAACCTTCCAAACCATTACTCCAGGTACTTCAAATTGGAAAATGCACTAAAACAATATCTATGGCTTACCTCAACCTTCAAATTGGAAAATGCAAAACAGCGATATTCTTGACCTACCTCGCCCAGAGCTTCGTATCTTTTCTGGTTCCACCTGTGTAGGTCTTCTCGGTAGTTAAAAACAAAGGGTTCCCCAGTTTTTATGTGTCTTAACTGCCCCTCTAAAAGACAACAAGCAATATTCCAATGACTTAGAATATATTTTAAATAATATGGAACTTATAATAAATAATGTCTGATAAAAATAACTATCTTAAATACTTGCTTTCTCCCTAAATTTTTGTCTTCAAATGCCAATATGACATAAACCTATTAACAATATAAAAGAATGGTCCTTAGTCTTCATCTTCATCTCAATATTTTCAAGTAAACTGACACTACTTTAAGGCCACTATGGATAAGAACTGCTACCAGACAATGCCATAAGCATGGTCCAGGCTTGAAGAAGTTTAGAGGCCACCTAAGTACAAATGTTGAAAATCTAAACAACTTTTCAGAAAATTAGACAAGAATCAAAGAAAGTCAGCATGTAAAGCTGCCATCTGTGATATATATGGACAATGAGGTCTAGAATGATGTGGGAACATAAGAATGCACTGTGGAGTTACCTAGAGTATGGGGTTTAGAACTCTGAGTAACACTTTTCTACTAGGCCTGAAGATAAGCTATTAATGGAGACTGAAGAGGAGAAGGAAAGCTAACACCAGCTGAAACTATCCAATCAGACTCACTCAAATCACAGGGCTTCCCTGAAGAAGATTAATAAACTTTATTAACAGCACCAGGACCTGCATTCAAGCTACAACAGGTAAAGCAAGGAGAGCCCAGGATGTCCAGGCTATCCCTCTACCCACATTTCTCTCTTACTGGATTGGATTACCTAACCCAGGGCAAGTAAGGTTCAAATAAGGCATACAGTGCTCCTCACACACCAGTAAGTATTTGGTCATAATATTCCCATTCTCTGTGCCAAAGAATTAAAGTGCTGTGTTTCTTCATTGAAATGTGCCTCATATATCAAAAAATAGGTTTGTTTACCATGAGCAATGCTCAATCAAACATCTAGATCATAGTAGTCCATAAAAAACTCCTCGTGGAAAACATTGGTCTTTATTTACTAAAAGGTTTAATTCAGTCTATTTACAATGAAAAAAGACAGATCATCATCCCCCTTGCTTTCGACAGAAACATTCTGATAATCAGAAGACAAACAGCCCACAGGCCAATTGCTTTAATCCTTCCCCCCAACAGGCAAAATATTACTATTTATACATGTTTTGTCATAAAGCAATTTTTATAAAAAATAATATCTGAAAGTGATCAAAGTTTCTATTGTCTTCTCTTTAAACTCACTGAGCACTCAAGAAAAGAACACATGGGCAGAAGAAGCACCTTATATCTATGAGTGCAAGGGGGGACACTATAAAGGGGTCTGGCAAGAACAGTGATGAGCGATCACCAATTTAGAGCTATAACGCAACAGATGGAAACGACAACTTCATGCTACCTGCCCACAACAGCAAAAGCCTTCAAAGATAATAGTGTATGGTGGGTGTATGATGCCTTTTCCAACAGCTCAGGTATAAAGGTTATTTTATCCCAAACTTAAAAAGATTTTAAACAAATATTTCCCTGAAGAATAATGGAATCCTGGGTACTCTACTTTAAAATACTGCCCCATATAACAACTGCCAGTCATCTCATTTCAAACAGCTGGGTAAAGAATGTACCTTTCTATGTAATTCAATTAGGAGTTTTCAGTTAGATATCAGAGGAGAATGCTCAAAGCTGAAATGTATAAACTAAGTCAAATTTATGTGACTTGACAACTAGAGAAAACTGTTCCCTGATTCTTTCACTGGAGTGAAGGATTTTACTATGCAAAGATAAGTCATAATCTCCCAAAAATCCTGCAATATTCTAGTTAGATATTCAAGAGTAACTAATATGCTTCCTGTGATTCTATAAACACTGTGAAGTAAATTATACATATGCACATATGTATGTATAATATATAGCACTTACTTTCATTAAAAGCATATTCAAAGCCTTCCAGTGTATCAGGAAAATCAAGAGGTGGTTCGTCCTTTTTCATGAGTTCATCCAAATCGATCCTAGACAGCAAATCTAGAAAAGAAGTGATAGAAACTTATATGAAACTTACTTAGATTCATCGTTCATAGAGAATACAACTGAAGACTGCATTTTAAATTGCTTTAAATTACTCCTTTATTCTACTAGATTAGTTTTATGTTATTTTAACTGATAATGCTATTAAAATTTAAGTTCCAAAAATGCTATATTTTGATCTAACACAGTATCAAAACAAGTACTTTCCAAATTATAATCCCTCAAGAAATCACAACGTGGACTCTCAAAATAATCTACTAAATGATTAACTTTTCCCCCTTCAAAACAGCTATTTGTTTTTTACCTCATTAACCTTAGTCTATAGTTTCCAAGTTTCATAATGAATGTGACATTTAAATGGCCACTAAATTTTACATATAAATGAGCTATGGTTTGCAAATAAAAGAACTCATTGTAAATGCAAAACTGATATCGTTATATATTAATCCATTTTATGAGAAATATTAAAATGAGGCATGTTGACTAGAAATGCATGGTTGATACTAAAATTGTTTCTATTCTTTTCAATACTGAATTTCACAAATCAAGAAAGGTGACCAGGCAGGTGTGGTGGGGCATGCCTCTAATCCCTGCACTAGGAAGGTACTAGGGAGTCTGAGGCAAGCCTGGTCTGTATAGTGAGTTCTAGGCCAGCTAAGACTACTCAAGGAAACATTGGTCTCAAATCAAACAAAACCAACAACAAAAAAGGCCCAAAAGCTGCTTTCTAAAATAAGCCAAATATTCAAACTTTGTGTCTGGAATCATTTTCTATTGATGGAAAATCTGAAAGATGGTACAGAGTGTCTGTGTCCCCTTAGCCCAATTTCCCCTAATGACAACATGTTACATCACCACAGTTCGTCTGTCCACCCAGAACACTGCACTAAAACTAAGTATTTTGTCAGAGATGACTACAGTCACTACCACATGTCAAGGAGAATATGACATGTATAAAACATCACTGATGATATGAGTCTTCATCAGCTGGATGAGTGTGGGGCGTTTACCCAACCACCCCCACAGTTCCCCAGAGTTTTCTTGAGTGCGAGCAGCAGGAAATATCAGATAGAAGGATTTATTGCGGAGAATATCACGGAGATAAACAGACAGAAAATAAAGGATAGCCTCGAGAGGGCCTGGAACCTATTCCAACGGGCCCCGACTGTCTCTGCCCCAGGGTTTTTATAGAGACGCCAAGAGGTGGAGCAAAAGACCTCCTCCCCCAGCACAGCCAAGTACAGACCATCTCAGACACCTGCACTCAGGCCCGTGGTCCTAATCATCCTCTATGTGGACCTGCTGGGTAAAGCCACAAGGAACCCAAGAACGGGCTCCCACAGATGAGTGCTGTTTGGCAGACTTCTCCATTACACTGTCAGTTTTTCCTTCACATGGCCCGTCTCTAGAAGTGACTGAGTCCCACCAACTTTTAGGTGAAAGCAAAGGAGACATGTTCTATCTCCTGAAGTAAGGAACACTGGCACACATCACTGGTCATCCTCTACACTGGCACATATCACTGGTCATCCTCTACACTGGCACACATCACTGGTCATCCTCTACACTGGCACACATCACTGGTCATCCTCTACACTGGCACACATCACTGGTCATCCTCTACACTGGCACACATCACTGGTCATCCTCTACACTGGCACACATCACTGGCCATCCTCTACACTGGCACACATCACTGGCCATCCTCTACACTGGCACACATCACTGGCCATCCTCTACACTGGCACACATCACTGGTCATCCTCTACACTGGCACACATCACTGGTCATCCTCTACACTGGCACACATCACTGGTCATCCTCTACACTGGCACACATCACTGGTCATCCTCTACACTGGCACACATCACTGGTCATCCTCTACACTGGCACACATCACTGGTCATCCTCTACACTGGCACACATCACTGGTCATCCTCTACACTGGCACACATCACTGGTCAGTTTTCTGTGTTTACATCGGCCTCACATTCTCCCTTTTCACAACTACCCCAGCATTTGTTAATATCACTATATACTCTAAGTAACAATCCAACACTACAACATTTATTTGGTTTCTTAAATAGTATGCTCTTTGACATGATTTCATCTTCTCAGTTTTGAAGGGTTATGAGAGACCATCTTCCTTTCCTATTGTTACCAGGCATACCATGCTTATCTTGGATCTTCTCTGCTCCCACCCTAAAATATTTTACCAACAGAGTATTTAATGATACCTTGGATCTGAGCACACTGCCTCAGAAGTTTGAGACAGAAGGATCAGGAGTTCAAGACCAACCCAGGCTGCACAATAATCAATAAAAGTTGTGGAAACTCTGAGCTATATATACAGCACAATGGCACAAACTGGCCTAGCATTCAAAAGGCCCTAGAATCCACTGTCAGTAAAAATAACAATAACAAAAACAACATTAAACAAATTAAAATAAACTGCAGTAATGTCATGAACTCTAACAATGTAGACCACTGATGCATAAATTCTACAAGTGTGCAAAAGCAATGCCAGACATTAATAATAGGGAAAATTGTGTGCCAGAGAGATGCTAGACATGGCAACTCTATTATCTGCTTATAAGAACTAATTTTATGTGTCAATCTATGAGAGCCAGGTGTTTGATCAAACACTATTCTAAACATTACCATAAAGATATTTTTAGATGTATCTTTTTGGGTTTTTTTCATTTTTCATGACAAGGTTTCTCTGTGTAACATCCCTGGCTGACCTAGAACTCGATTTATAGACCTGGCTGGCCTTAAACTCACAGAGATCTGCCTACCTCTGCCTCCCGAGTGCTGGGATTAAAGGCATGCACCACAGCCGCCTGGTTAGATGTATCCTTTTAATCCATAAATTTGGGATCAATAACGTAAGTGAACTATATCCAATAAATTGAAGGCTTTCTTGTGAGTTCAGATTCAAGATTGTATTATCAACTTTTATCTGAATTTCAAGTTACCATGGTGCCCTACACTCTCATTCTGTTCCCCTCTCCCTATCTCTCTTTCCCTCCCCATCTCATTCTCCTCACTTCCCCTCCATGTAATGTACATACACATATGCACATATATGTACACATACATATTGAGCCATCACTATATCACTTCAAACATAGACCCCATATGTACCAGTCCATACCATAAACAATAAGTATGGAGTAGGCTATACCATATACATACATTCTGATGTTCACACAACCATAGAACTGCCTAACAACACATTTCCTGGTCTTAAGTGATACATAACTCTGTGGGTATAAAATTCTATTCCTTTTTCTTCTCTGGAAAACATTGACTAAATTGTTCCTCAATTTTTATAACTCTAAAATTGCTCTAAAAGTCAACTTCTTTAAAAAAAAAAAAAAAAAAAGAGCAAGTCAAGTGAAAGCAGGAAAAAAGCATAAGCCGAATGGAGAACAGATGGTACACCAGTACAATAAAAGGAAACAATATACAGTTACAGACACATAAATAAATGTCCTAAACACCCCAAATAAAAAGCAATTTCACAACAAAATGCAAGAGTTACATATATGATAGCGACACATAAAGACAAAGAAAATTAAAAGTCAAGGGACTAGAAACGCTAACACATATAAACACTAATCAAAATTTAATCTGTAGTTGCCATATTACTACTAAAAAGGTACACTCCAAGGAGGTAAAAATCCAAACACATAAGAGAACTAGAGACATGTATGTCATAATGAGGAAGGGTAAATTCTTCAGCAGCGTGTAACAATCTTAAATGTATCTGTACCAAGTGAAAATGCTGAAAAGAAAAAAACAAACAAACTAAAACAACTAGAAAGAAAAAAAAGTCCACAGTAAAAGCTGGAGGTTCCAATGCCTTTTCATATTACTGAATAGAGTAAGAACACAGAAAACAGATAAAGGCATAAAAGACTTAAAAGTATCAATTCGACCTAATTCACTTTTACATAATCTACTAAATAGCCATTTAACATCTTTTTATGCTTCAAGTATTCATTATTTATTTTGACTAAATTCTAAATTACAATATAATTACATCACTTGCACCTTTCCCTATCTTCCCTCCAACCTCTCCTATGTCCCCTCCCTTTAACCCTTTCCATCTCACTCTCTCACTCCCTGTCTCTTTCTTATTGTGGTTACATATATCAATACATAAATATATAAATACATCTGAGCCACTTAGTATGGCTTGTGTGCACAGGATTTCATGGCTAACCACTTGGTACTGGATAGCCAATTAATGAGCTCATCTCTGGGAAATGCTAATTCACCCTCTCTCAGCAGTCACTGGAAACTCAGTCAACTACCTGGGGCTAGTGGGGTCATAAATCTTAGAAGTGAACCTACTACCGCCACCTTACTAGACCCAACTGCATTCTAAACCTTACACCCACAGATAAGTATAGCTCGCGTCCATCATCAAAGAGGCTTCTCTTTACAGAACACCACAATAGGCCATAATGCAAAGATCAACAGATCATGTGGAGCCCAGCAATAAAGGACAGAACTACAACACAGCTCCTGCACCTAAGGCTCGGGGAATGTCCAGGAAAAGGGGCAAAAAGATTCTAAGAGCCATAGGACCAAAAAGACTGCTATGACATTATATCTCCCAGAAATGACAGGAAAACTTCATTCACAAAACCTCAATAGTATGGCTGCCTAAACAAGACCTGAACCACGATCTAATGAATAGGCATGCTTTAGGCAATTCAATACCTCTGTAAAGGGCACAGGAAACAGTCACAAAAATAGCTGATATTCCAGGCTATAAAATAAGCCCAGTGAATTTTAAAGGATTGAAATCATATAAACCAAGTCTTCAACCACAATAACAATAATCTAAAATTCAATGAAGAAAATCTCTTGCAAAAATATCCAATTGTGAGCTGGACATGATAGTGCACTCCTTTAATCCCAACAGAAGCAGAGTCAGGGGAACTCTTTGTGAGTTCAAGGGCAGCTGGTTTACATAATAAGAT